TTTTCCAAATAACCAGTATTTGAGTCTTTTTGTTTGAGTCGTACGAGATGAAATTTTCATATACGGTTCGAAGGGGGGTCCCTTGGTTTACCTATCTCAATAAAGTCTATGATTGGTTCGAAGAACGTCTTGAGATTCAGGCCATTGCCGATGATATAACTAGTAAATATGTCCTTCCTCATGTAAATATATTTTATTGTTTAGGAGGAATTACACTTACTTGTTTTTTAGTCAAAGTAGCGACGGGTTTTGCTATGACTTTTTATTATCGTCCAACTGTTACGGAGGCTTTTGCTTCTGTTCAATATATAATGACTGAGGCTAACTTTGGTTGGTTAATCCGATCAGTTCATCGATGGTCAGCAAGTATGATGGTATTAATGATGATCTTGCACGTATTTCGCGTGTATCTCACTGGTGGTTTTAAAAAACCTCGCGAATTGACTTGGGTTACAGGTGTAATTTTGGGTGTATTGACTGCATCCTTTGGTGTAACTGGTTATTCTTTACCTTGGGACCAAATTGGTTATTGGGCAGTCAAAATTGTAACAGGTGTACCCGATGCTATTCCTGTAATAGGATCCTCGGTGGTAGAGTTATTGCGCGACAGCGGTAGTGTGGGACAATCTACCTTGACTCGTTTTTATAGTTTACATACTTTTGTATTACCTCTACTTACTGTCGTATTCATGTTAATGCACTTTCCAATGATACGTAAGCAAAGAATTTTCGGTCCTTTATAGAGAATATGAATCATAGATATTTGTAATAAATCATTTGGGGAGGAGTAATAGTATTTCATTGCTACAAATATGCATTATTTTTTTTGAATAAGACATGTATTTGGATATTTCCCTTCCACTTAACAAAATAAATTGGATTCTTTATTTGACATACACGAATAGTGGAAGGGAACTCTCCGAAAAAAGAATGGATTATGAGAGTGTATGACTTGAACTATTGATTGGGACATGCAGATATATGACTTCATCTTATCTGCCACATTTGAATTCACAATTAAATGTGTCTTTGTTCCAACCACGGCGCCAGTCCTCTACAGAGGATAGTCCAACGGTATAAACATTCATTCCAGTATAAATAGTTATTATCTGTTCTTCCACAGTAATAGGAGATGATTGGGATTGTTTAAGCAACTCGCGCAATCGTTGACCTCTTGCCAATTGATTTTGCGTAGTTTTCTCAAGATCGGTAGAGAATTGTGCAAAAGCTTCTAATTCTGCGAATTGTGATAATTCCAATTTTAATTTACCAGCGACTTGTTTCATGGCTTTTATTTGAGTCGTCGATCCAACTCTGGAAACGGAAAGACCCACATTAATTACGGGTCTGATCCCAGCATTGAATAAATCGGCAGATAAGAATATTTGACCATCTGTAATGGAAATGACATTCGTAGGAATATAAGCTGAAACATCTCCGGCTTGGGTCTCAACTATTGGTAAAGCAGTACTTCCTTCACCTAACTGACAACTTAATTTCGCGGCTCTTTCCAAAAGACGCGAATGTAAATAAAAAACATCTCTGGGATAAGCTTCGCGACCTGGTGGTCTTCGTAATAGAAGAGACATTTGGCGATAAGCCTGTGCTTGTTTGGAGGGATCATCATAAATGATTAAAGTGTGACGTTCACGGTACATAAAATATTCAGCCAGAGCTGCGCCTGTATAAGGCGCGAGGTATTGTAATGTAGCTGGGGAATTTGCTGTTTCAGCCACTATAATAGTGTATTCCATTGCTCCTCTTTCTTGTAAAGTAGTTACTACTTGAGCCACAGAAGATGTTTTTTGACCAATAGCTAACATAAACACATACTACATTTTGTCCCTGTTGATTGAGAATCGTATCTGTAGCTACTGTTGTTTTACCTGTTTGTCTGTCCCCAATAATCAATTCTCGTTGGCCACGCCCTATAGGGATCATAGAATCAATAGCAATAAGTCCCGTTTGAAGAGGCTCATACACGGAACGTCTGGAAATAATACCGGGAGCGGGAGATTCAATTAACCAAGATTCCGAAGCTGAAATTTCTCCTCGACCGTCAATAGGTTTAGCTAGGGCATTTACAACACGACCCAAATAACCCTCACTTACTGGTATCTGAGCAATTATTCCTGTTGCTTTTACGGAACTTCCCTCTTGTATCATCAAACCATCACCCATTAATACAACACCAACATTTTTGGATTCCAAATTCAAAGCAATGCCTATTGTACCCTCTTTAAATTCTACTAATTCACCTGCCATTACTTCATCAAGACCATAAATACGAGCAATGCCATCGCCTACTTGAAGTACGGTACCTGTATTTACAATTTTTACTTCGGTATTATATTGCTCAATCCGTTCACGGATAATTTGACTAATTTCATCTGCACGAATGGGTACCATGAATATTTTTATTAATTGGATTCTTTTTCGAAGAAAAACAAAAATAGGGCCTCTCCATACTCTCTATTATAGTAGAACCACTAATTAGTTATTTTTTTCTTTGATCTCCCCAAACATACCAATATTAGCAGCGATCATACGTAAATGTAACTCGTTGTTTAAGCACCTATTCAGAGTTCCCAGAGCTCCTTGTAATGCTTGTTGTAAAACCCTTTGTTGGACTTGATTAATCGCTCTTTGTTGTTCAAAATGAATGGTTTCATTTTTGTAATTTTCGAATTGTTCCAAAGTTGTATAAATGGAATTAATTAAATTCCATTTTTCTCGTTCTATCTCGGAATAACCATTCACTCGAAACCGATCTGCTTCCATTTCTACTTTCCTGAAACGGGCCCGGGCTTTTTCCAGCTGTTCAATGGCTATTTCCCGTAGTTCTTCTGAATTTCGAATAGTTCTCAAGATTCTCTGTTTTCGATTATCTAATAAATCACTTAATGAAAGTAGATTCTCTTTCCATTCATTTCCAAATGTCTATGATCTCTTCCCGAACCAAACATGAATCTTTCAATTCATTTGGCTCTCACACTCAATTCCTTATAGGAAATTCCCCCCTATTTATTAGGGAATGAGCCTATCCTCTTTTCTCTATTTCTAAAAATCTTGAAAATGATTATCAATACAAGACCCAAATATTTGGAGGACTCTTCTGAACAAACAAATAATTGTCAGCAAAGTTGTTTTTTTTTCTTAAAATCCAAAGAATTATGATTAATTTATATGTAGGTCATCAATTCCGCATTATAGAAAAGTAGAAACTGAGGCGTTAAACAAAACACATTTTTTCCTATTTTTCATCATACAGAGAATTCAAGTCATTTTATCGACATGAGTGTTATATATATATATATATATATATATATATATATATATATATATATATATATATATATATATATATATATATATATATATATATATATATATATATATATATATATATATATATATATCGCCGCTTATCCATTTCTTTGTATTTTTTTTTTATTATATCTATTTATTGAAATTGAATAAGTGATGATCTAGCAGTTCTTACTCAGAGAATTCTTGGACTTCGATTAAAGGTTTTTTCGGAAATCATCGTGGTTCTGGTATGAATCAAATAGCTTTTGTGAAAAAAACTAAAAACTAAAAACTCCTTCAAATAGCTTTTTCACAAAAGCTATTTTAATCATCGTGGTTCTGGGAATTATCCTTATTATTTCAATCAAATAGCTTTTGTGAAAAAAACTAAAAACTAATTAAAAAATCATAACCTAAAAGATAAAAGATAAAAGACAGTTATCAAATAAATTCTTTTAATTAAAGTGAGCTGAAAAACTAAAACTTAAAAACTAAAAGGTCTTTTTCTTATCTTACCAAATAGACTCTCAGTTCTTAAACTTATCTTTGAATTCATATTTCATTTGTGATCCATCTCTAAATTCTTAAACTCATTGGCTATTGTTACTATTTAGCGGACTTGCAATCCTAGTATTATTTATGCTATTTAATTGTTGATGAATGTATATTTGCATTCATGTGAAAATTGATTTTTAACCACAACTTTCAAAACTCTATTTAATTTAGCTGTTCAATCAATCCTTGCTTTAAACATATTTAAATAATCGATTGAGAGCAGGAATTAACGTTTAATTAAACCTCTTTTGATTAAAAACCCAACTAAGATATTAGAGGATTGTAATCAAAAAAGAGTTATGAGCTAAGAAATTGATCATTGGTAATGTTAATTCAACGTTGTATTAGAGAAATAAATTTTAAGAATAGACACAAATATCAAATAGTAACCGATAATTGATTAAAACAAGGTCGGGTCGTTTTAATCACAGTTAAGTTTAATCTAGTTTATCTTCCTATTTGCAAACCAAACCCTTATACAAAACCCCCAACATACGTAATATGATAATAGTAACGTTTAGTCGAAATTGAAACAAATCTCATAGACAAGAACTTCAAATTAATTCCTTGACGACAATCTAGTAGACTAGTTAAATTGTTAAATTGAATGGGAAACCAGTTCTAAACTAAATTGTGAGATATATATAGCATTAGAACCAAATTTGCAGCAAAAGTTGCATATAAGTTGGAGCAAAAGCTCCTGTTATTACACAATAACAATGTCCAAGAAAAGATCAAGTTTCTGTTGAATTGGCTTGAACAAATGTGTTGAAAAAATTCAAAAGCACTAATCACTAGTAGTTCTAAGGTTATATAACATCAACAAGTTGTGTTGTGTTTCTAAGCAGTGAACTAGTGAATAAGAGGCACATTGCCCCTATATGATCGGCTTATTTTGCAGCTTAATATAGTGCTTATACTATAAGCACTTAGTAATAAGCCATTTGTACAACAATATAGAATAAAGAGTATATAATAAAATGATATGCAGGTGAAAGCAAGAGAAGAGAGAAAGCAAGAATTACATGAAGATGATATGCAGGTGAAAACAAGGAAGTTGTGAATTTACAAAGAGTATGTAATAAAATGTTAGGGTTTGAAAAAAAGAAAGAAAACAACATACAATAGCCATAGAATTATGAGGATTGAGTAGCAGAAGTATCATTATTATTGGGGGTTTGATCATCGATGTTGGGGAACTTTTGCTTGAATGAATCTTGGCGCTGTAACCACATCATGTGTCCCTGAAAATGGAATAGCAACGATGGATGAGGAAGCGAGGGAGGAGAGGGAGAGAGAAGATAATAGATTAGGGTTTTACCTGGAGAGCTGCAGCCCAAGTGATAAGGAAAGATGCAAACCAGAATTTCTTGTCCTTTATCACTTTTTTCAATTCCATTTTCTCACTCAACTCCCACAACAAGCTCCAACAACTCACCGCCGTTTCTCGCTCACAACATCACACCTCACACCACCTTGCTTCTAATTCGATTGGGCTTATAAAAAAGCCCAATACTGCTATTCTGGATTATATGAAACAAGGATTATATCGAGAAATTTTGTCTATCACCCCCACTCAGTGCTTTTACCATTATGCTCTTGTCGGTTTTTTTTTTTTAATTAATTTATGTGTATTACGGATTTTTCTATATAATGCCGGAATTTTTTTTTGTGCGATTTTACATTTGTTTATACTGAACTTTTGCTAAGAATAAGAACAATTGAGTTTATGAGTTTATACGAAGAATACTAGATATTTCATAAAAACAATCGGAAAAAATGCATTGTTTTTTTTAAAAGTGCGAAGAAATTTTGAAATTTTAAAAGATCCGATGCGTGTGTACTGGAAATTTAAAAAAATTTGGTGTTGGACAATTCTTTTGTTACAAAGTTGTTTTCGTAATTATTGGATTTTTCAAAAATTCGATAACCTATACTTAGATATTGGATATGTTGAAAAATCTGGTTCATACTAAATTTTTTGTATTTTTAAAAATTTCAGTAGACATTGAGAGTTTTTAAATGCTTATGTTTTTTAAACTAAGATTTTGACATTTTAAAAAAAACAGTATGATAATATTAACATATCAAAAGTAATCTTATTGAGATCAGAAGAATAATTAAAGTGAACTTTAAATCATCGGTGGTGGAGAAGAGGAGGGGGTATATATATGTAAGACACTATGATGCCAAAGTGAAGTTCAGAGTGAAAGAGAGAGAACAAATACAGAAAGTGAGTATAATTAGAATACGTAACACTTTTGTGGAGGAGAGTATTTATAATGTGTCATCAGCGCTGAGCCAACGGTCATCTACTGCGCACTAGATCGCTCGACCCACAACAGATGACTGTCAGGATGCTACGTGGAAATAGGAAAGATCAGCACGTGGTCTTCGTCTTGGGTCAACTGCTCCGCAAAATTAAGGAAGTGAACGACTTGCTCTCGAGGCAAAAGCGTCCGCGAAAGGTGTGGGTTCAGTTGGTCACGTGTTCCAGCGTGGGGAGCACGTGGAGAACGTGACCTCCAACGGCTATGGAGAATTGAGCCTGTCTTAGGCCCTCCTCGACGCGGAGCTCGATTGGGTTGTGCCCGACAATGGGCCAGGCCCAGATCAGAGCAGGAGCCCCCCTAAGTCGTTGCTCCCAGTTAATGGAGTAATGACTTAGAGCCAGTTCGCATGTCGACGAGGGATGAAGGAAATCCACGCGACAAGAGCGTTTGTTCGAATTTGTAGTTGTGAGCTCGTGGAGTCACGCTCGCAAGAAGCCTGGAAGTTGCTCCTTGTCCTCGAAGGCAAGTCTCGCGACTATATCGAGGCCATGTTTTCGCGAGGGGGGCAAGGTCGTTAGTTGTGCTCGACAACATAGCTTTATTTAAACCTTCAAGTTTTTCTGCTCTCTCCAACACTCGCTCGTCGTTGTTGTCGTCGCCGCATGTTTTTCTTCCGCCACTGTAGATTTCCAAGATCTCCTTCATACACGTAAGTTTCCTCTGTCTTTTCCAGCTAGTATGGTAGCAGTTAGCTCTAGAACGTAGCTTTAGGAGCACGTGTTCTCGGATGCTCATGAACTTCGCGATTAAGTTACTCGTTTCCGACAATTGCTATGAATTTTTCGGCTGTGTTCTTGAACTTCTTGAGAACTTCATGAGGTTCCGATAAAGATCCAGGGGAACTCATGAAGTTTCCGACGAAGATTCTGGGGAACTCATGAAGTTTTTGATGAAGATCCCGAGAAACTCATGAAGATTTCGGGGAACTCATGAAGTTTTTGATGAAGATTCCAAGGAACTCATGAAGTTTTTGATGAATATCTCGGGGATCTCATGAGGCTTTCGCATATTTGTTGGGCTTGAAGCAGAGGAAACTTTCTCCTCGCGCAAGTATAGGATTTCTCGTGTCGAGGGGCTTCCTCCCTGCAAGGGGCTTTCTCCTTGTCGAAGTCTGGGGATTCCTGTGTCGAGGATCCTACAACTTCTGCGCTTGCCATTCATACAAAGGGATTTTGGTCATGAGTATGCATTTGTGTCCCTCCTCACCATTTCACTTGATCTGCATTGGAATAGTGGATTTGATCTTAACGTCGAATTCACTATTTTCCTCTGCTTTTCAGGTTGAATGGCTCGACCGAACGAGGTCGTGGTCGACGCGAAGGCTGAACCCAGCTTTGATTAGGTCGGGCAGGAGCCTTGGGAAATTATCTTGTGTTTCACTTATGACGATTCAGATGCTTGTACCATCATCGAGGACGTAGAAGAATGAGCCTCTGCAAACTGGGAGACATACAAGCCTAAAAGGAAGGGCCGAATTTGTTCTTCATATGAAGGGAAGTGATTCCCTATGTACGGTTTTGCTTTTCAAGAGGCGGGGCTGCGCCTGCCCTTCAGTGACTTCTAAAAGTGGATTTTTCAATGGTTGGAGTTGGCACCCTCTCAGCTTCACCCAAACGTGATTGTGTTCGTGCGGGCGTTCAAGCTCGTCTGTTGACACCTACAGATTGGCGCTACTCTCCCACTATTCTTCCGTGTTTTCCACCTTCAACGAAAATATGTGCATGGGCAGCACAACTGGGTGTCTTTTAAGTAGTCGAGGAAGTTGTTCAGGACATACCTGGACTTTGTCTGGGTCTTTAAAGACATATACTATCTCGTGGAGCTTGTGTCGGAGATCGACGTTGACTCTGTGTTTGAACGTGTGGTCTAACTCTATGTTGGGAAGGAGGTGGAGAAGCTAGAGTCGAAGTTTCCCCTCGAATGGAAGATGGTCCATTTTGACAAGGGACTGGCCACTACATCATGAAGTCCAACGAGCTAGGCGCCAAGGTCCAGCTCGCCTAAGAGAAGCTCGTGGCGTTCGTCGACAGCTTCATCCCCGCCAAGTGCGTGAATAAAGATGGGAGCTTTATCCTTAATAAGGATGGGAAGGTCGCTTTTGAGGCCCGGCTGATCAACACCAAGGCGCTCCTCGAGTGTGGTTCTGCCGAGGAAGCCTTAAGGCTTTTAGGTAGCAAACATGTTTTCAACTTGTGTGTCCGTTTATTTTTCCTTGTAATATTAACTCGCGTTCTTTCTTTTGTTGCATTCCAATAGAGGCTCAGGAAGTCGAGGAAAAAGAGCACCTCCAAGCGAGGGTCACCGAGCTGGAGACTGATGCGGCGCCCTCCGTGGACGAGTCTGACGAGGAGAAACCTTGTCAACCCAAGGTGAGCTGGTGTCCCGAATCCGGGAGCTTGAGCAAGACTACTTAGGTACCTTCAAGCTGAGTTTCAATAACGTGTTAGAGCAACTCTAAGTCGCCAACCTTGGGATTCAGCTCGTCACCAAGGGGATCAGGCCTTTTCACCAGGTGGTCGACAGCCAGATAATCGCTCCAGCAGGTCTCCGCGGCAATGTCGATCAAGCAGGCGATGAGTTCTAGCTCGAAGAGGAGTGCGATCACGCTTCTGGGTAATCGCAGGTTGTGGCCTCTCTAGCCGTGGGTGACATCCTGGTTGTCGCGGGGAGAGGCTTTAAGACTCATCCTGTTGTTGTCTCCGCAGGGAAGAGCATAGACGAGAATCTCGTTGTCGTGGGAACGGGCTGCAAGATTCAGATCGTCAGTGTCTCCGTTGGGGAGAGCGTAATTGACGGCTTTTCTCCAACATTTCAATCTGTTCGTTCTGTTGGAAAATCATATAGTTAGTTTGCTTGATGGCTGCGAGCAGGGCCACCGTTGTAGGGTCGGCTTCCGGTGGTACGGGAATTGGTTGAAAAACTCTCGGATTTTCAAGGTGTTATGCGGCGTTGTAGGCTGCATCGTCGGAGGAAGGAGAGGCGGTGAGTGCGCCTATTGGGTTACCCTCTTTAAAAACGATCGTCCCATTGTTTTTATGGTCACTGCTGGTAGAGAAAGGTGGTGAAGGCAGCTTCGTGAACGTTGTCGTCGGCGTGTTGATCGGCCATGATGATAGGTAGGTTTTTGGAAGTGTGCTTTGGTATTTAGGTTTTGTAGAAAGAAAAGACAAGGGAGAAAAAGGTTCCCACAGAAAGCGCCAATGATCTTATCAGGGTCAAAAGAATATCCAGTGGCTAGCAACACGTCGTGAGCTCCAAGATCCACGGTGGTGGAGAAGAGGAGGGGGTGTACCTGCAAGACACTCCGAAGGCAAAGTGAGACTCAGAGTGAAAGAGAGAGAGCAAGTGCAGAAAGTGTGTATGAATTAGAATACCTGACCCTCCTGTGGAGGAGGGTACTTATAATGTGCCTCAAGTGTTGAGCCAACGGTCATCTGCAGTGGGCTGGATCGTTAGTTTCACAACATATGACTGTCAAGATCCTACATGGAAGTAGGGAAGACCAACACGTGGTATTCATCCTGGGTCAAATGCCCCACGAAATCAGGAAGTGGATGACTTGTTCTCGAGGCGAAAGCATTCTATGAAAGGCGTGGATTCAGTTGGTCATGTGTTCCCGCGTGGAAAGCACATGCAAAACGTGTGGAGGACGTGGCCTCCAACGGCTATGGAGAATTGGGTATGTGTTAGGCCCTCATCGACGCGGAGTTGGACTGAGCAATGCCCGACAGTGGGCCAGCTCTAAGCCCAGTCCAGAACAATGAAGTTTATGAGTTTATATGAAGAATGGGGTAAAAATACATTGTTTTTTTTGAAGTAAGAAGAAATTCTGAATTTTTAAAAGATCTTAAGCATGTGTATTGGAATTTTCAAAAAAATTTAGTGTTGAACAATTATTTTGTTACAAAGTTGTTTGCGTAACTATTGAATTTTCAAAAATTCAATAACATATATTAGGTATTGAATATATTAAAAATTTTGACACATTATCAAATTTTTTGTATTTTTAAAAAATTCAGTAGATAGTGAGGATTTTTAAATATTTATGTTTTTTAAACTAAGTTTT